CATTTAACTTGTGGGGTGAAGCTTTGTTAAGTGCATGTATGATACTTAATAGAATTTCTTCAAAACATACAAAGGTTTCTCCTTATGAATTGTGGAAAGGAAGGAAACCAAACATTGGATACTTCAAAGTGTGGGGGTGTCTTGCGTATTGCAAGAACACGAACTCTAATAGGACCAAATTTGGTCCAAGAGGCATCAAATGTATTTTTGTTGGATATGCTAATAATAGCAAATCTTATAGATTGCTAAATTTGGAGACCAATGTGATCATTGAATCAAGTGATGTAGAGTTCTTTGAAGATTCGTTATCTTCGGATAATGAATTAAGGAAAAATCAAGAAAATATCTCTAGCTCTAGTGGAACACGGGATGAAATGTCTTCTAAAGATATTAATGAGTCTAGTGAACTAAGAAAAAGCAAGAGAACTCGAGTTGAGAAGTCTTTGGGACCGGATGAAATTGATTCTCAACTTATCTCTTTTTACTTAGTAGAAGGAAATGAGTTGAATGTCGTAAGAACAATTCCTTTTGTTCTACAAGTAGAAATCGACCCTAAAACTTATAAAGAAATTATGGTTTCTCGTGATAGCATCTTTTGGAAAGATGCAATTAAAAATGAAATGGATTCGATATTATCTAATAAAACTTGGAAACTTGTCGATCTACCACCCGGATCCAAACCTATTGGATGTAAATGGGTATTTAGGAGAAAATATAATGTTGATGGTTCTCTAAATACTTTCAAGACTAGATTAGTAGCCAAAGGATACCGACAAAAGGAATCGACTATTTTGACACTTATGCACCGGTAGCAAGAATAACAACAATTAGGATATGATTTGCATTAACTTCGATATATGACTTGCATGTTCATCAAATGGATGTTAAGACGACACTCTTAAACGGGGATCTCAATGAGGAGGTTTATATGGAACAATCCGAAGGGTTTGTTCTACCTGGAAATGAAGATAAGGTATGCAAGTTAGTTAAATCGCTATATAGTTTAAAGCAGGCACCTAAGAAGTGGCATGAGAAATTTGACCTAACAATAATATCATTTGGGTTTAAACATAATAGTGTAGATAGATGTTTATATTCTAAAATATGTGATGATTACATGA